TTTCATAACAGTGATAAATGTTTAATTGCCAAGCAACCCGTTATTATTTTCTCTACTGAGCTACTGATTTACTTTACTAAAATTAATATCTGTTGTCATTATAATCACAGGAAGTCCAAAGGATAACTAACTCAGTAGTAAAATTCACCTTTGTTGCAGTTTTTGCTTTCAAACCTCCGTTCTCCGCAACGCTGAGTTCCAGTTTGCCATCGTCCTTACTCCCTATAGATTTCAGTCCTTGCAAAAGAATATCTCGTAAATTTTGATAAAGAGGCTTTTCGACATAGTCCAATAATTTCACTGTTTCCATGTATTTAGCAATTTCATCTAAAAAAATAAGAGAATTATTTTATAACTTTTTAATCATAAATACAACATATTTATTTCTTCTAAGAAAGAAGTTTGTGGTTATAGTCAAATTAAATGCAAACATATATCTTGTTAAAAAATTTTTTCCAAATCATTTCTTCAATGAAAAGTATGCTTTTCAACTCAGTAATTGTCAGATAACTCAAAAAATATATTTTGAGATACAATGTAAAAACATTTTTGTAATAGTAAGACAGTAAGACAGAAGACATACTTAAAATTTAAACATGCACAAAAATAACTCCCATAGTCTTAAAGGTATCAAAAAATACAAAAAGACCTAAAGATTATTAAGTAAAATGTGCTTAAGTACAATGAATAGCACAGCCAATATATATATACATAATTTTTTGCTTTGTGTAAACGAAAAATAAAATATACCAAGAACAGGTTGAAAAAAGAGGCAGGGTCTGGTTTTCCCATAAAAGAGAAAAGTCAGCTTCTGAATGATGAAGGGTTTGCTCTACACTGAGGCAGAACCGTCTCTAAAAGAAGGAATCTTACTAGTCAAGATCAGTACCTTTCAGCATCAGAACTCCGTCTGCAGGCTCCTGATGCGCACATACGTCCCCCGCCCAGCCCTCTCCCCGGACCTCCAGACCTGTACATACACGGCCTCATACCGTGGCTCTTGGATGTATGTATAACTGTCACCTCAAATCCCAACAAATCTAAACCTAATCTCCTGAACTGCCCCTAACCCTGCTGCCTCTACGCTGTTCCCTGTCTCGGTTACCAAGAACGCTGTCCTCCCGGCTCCGCAAGCCGAGAATATTCTCCTCCCACACACCACGCCCAACCTCTCAAGAGATCCTGTGAGAGCCTCATACACACACGACCGTATACACGCACTCACATGCACAAATGTTTATTAAACACTCACTATGTGTCAGGCAGGATTCTAGATTCTTGGGATATAGGAGGAAAAAAAGAGACAAAAAAATCTCTCCCTTCGACTTTCTTAATCTGATAACAGGGGAATCTGCAAAAAGCCTAAAACAAACGTCAGCAAGCACAGTGAAACTGAACGCTTTCCTTCTGAGGGGACAATGGCAAGGATGTCCACTTTCACCACTGCTATTCCGAAAGGTCACGTGTGCTTTTACCAGGACAGGAAGGCAGGGAAAGAACTAGAAGGCACAGTGGAATAGGAGATATAAAACAGTTCATTCACAAACATGACTGTATGTAGAAAATCCTAAGGAAACTATCAAAAAAAAAAAACTATAGGTGACTTAACAAGGTCACAGGATGCAAGATTAAGTCTATAAATACCTACTTTTATTTCTATAGACTAACAGCAAGCAACTGGGAAATGAAATTTTAAAAAATACATCCCTTGTAATAGCATCAAAAGCCTCAAATAAATGAAAGATAGGCAAGATTTTTTTTTTGCAGAAACAACTATAAATCACAGTTGAGAGAAATTAAGTGAGACGAAATTGAATGGAGGATCCCCGCCCCCCATATTAGTGGACTGGAAGCCTCGATGGTAAAAGACATCAGTGTCCCCAACTGGTCTACAGTCAACGCGATCGCACCCGGAGTTCCACACACTGGCGACGGAGGGGATGTGCAGGGAAGGGACAAGGTGATTCTTAAATATGCGAAAGGCCAAGAATAGCAAAACCTCAAGGTCAAGTTTAAAGAACAACAGTGCTGGGGCTTGCAACTTCAAATAGCATAAGGTTAGAGCAGAAATCCCAGAAGAGAAACAATTAAGCAAAGGCTTGAAAAGACTTCTAAACACACCCACCGTCCACGTCTCAGTCCTGCCACTTCCTCTGCCTGCGCCATCGCAGGAGCCTCCCAGCCTGCTCCCGCTCGCTCCCTGCCTTGCTCCCCTAGCAGCAGCCCTCAAAGCAGAAGCTAGCACGATGTTCCTTAAAGACAGACAGTTCGTGTCACTTTCTACTCCAAATCTTACACTCTTGCTCAAAGTAAAAGCCAAGACCTTATTAAATGGCCTACGAGGACGCATCCTTCACACACACCAGGCACTTACGTTCCTTCTGCCCGCGAGTCTCTTCCCGGATTTCCACATGGTTCACTCGTTTCCTTCCTACAACTGCTCAGTGTCACCTCCTCAGTCAGGCCAGCCCTGCCCACCCTGTTGTATTCCCTGCTTTCTTCTCCTCTCCCTCGTACGAACCATGTGATATCCTGTAAAATTCACTCATTTGGTTACCGTCTCTCTCTCCCAACTAGAGCCTTCGCTTCGTGAGGACAGGAATTTGTTTTGTTCACTGTCACATCCCTAGTGTCTCGAAAGGTCCCTGGCACACAGTAAAATTTCAGTAGAAAAGGTGAACGAATACATGAGATTTGGTCCCTTTCCTGAAAGCAATGAATAACTGAATGGAGCTCAAGTACTCATGTAGCCCGCTTCTCGGAAGCGAAGTGCTTTTCTGATGACAGCGGGTCCCACACCTAAACGCTGACGTGAAGGGACAGTCCGTGGACATCGAGACTTTTTTTTCTCCCAGAAAAAAAAAAAATCCCTGTGAATACGTAAAAGGTCTTTTCCTACCTGGCTTATTTTTCTCAGGAAAACATTTGTCCATCAAACCTGCAATATTTTCTCTGTATCTGTTAAAAATTAAAGAATGAGTCATTGTTTGAAGCTTGATGCCATAGAAAATTATTAATATTCAATAGCAGTAAACAGCACGTTGAGTAGCACTGTGTCACACCCTAAATATGCTTACGGACATTCCTCTAAGATAAATTACACAAGAGACCAAGGAATCTTACTCTTTAACACATACTTTCTTATTTCTACATTAGTATAAGTTGAAACTACAGTTCCAGTACAGAAATTCTGACTGAAAAACATTTGCCTTATCATGAGTTTGCCCAAAATAAGTTATTATAAGTCTCCTTTACCTAATTTTGGAATCTCTAACATAGTTAGGATCTTTCAAATTATCCTCCCAGGGAAGATGGCCGCTAAGCCACTGGATCATACAGTAGCCAAGGATTTCCAAGTCACCGCGTCTCGACGGGGCTGTGAACACAGAAGCAGCAGGATGAGCTTACCGAAATAATTTTTAAGGTATAATTTCAAGTATTTCTAAAGCAATAATTGTGCAACAGTCAACTCTACAGTCTTGTTTCTCATCATAAAATTTTGACTGCATTTAAAAAAAAGTATTGAACATTGGGGAGTATAAAAGAAATAATTACCTCCAACTAATAATTTAACTTTAAAACCCAAATTGGCAAACTCGAGAGTTTTCAAACTGAGACTATCAGTCTAGGAAACAAATTATAAAACAATGACATTTAATATTGCCCTTGGAAAACCTGAAGATATTAAAAATGCTGTGAGCTGTTAAGAGGGCCAGAGAACTGGGGGTTTTAGCACCCCACGGTGTTGGGCACGGAAAAAAGAAATGCCTGCTGAAGAAACAGGCTAAGAAACAGATGACAAAATAAAGTTTATCTGCTATAAAGTTATAGCTGCATAAGAAA